TTTAATCAATTTAATTGCCGTTAATATACACAAAAAAACAATATTTTGAACACATTGATAGATGGTCACATGTACTAGTATGATAATATACTCTCAGCTGCATTTGGCAATTACTTTGGAATACCATTTGTACTTGCATTCCACAAAGTGGTTACTATTCAGAAGCACTTTTCAGTTTGCCATTATTGATTGGTGCTAAATTTGGATTACTGGTAATATATTTTGAGAATTGTGAATACAATATGCTAGCTTGTCTGTTAAGTTTTTGACAGAATTACTGTCACTGCCTTATTGTTCCTGATACCCGAACATCATCAGTAAGTTGCTTGCGTTTTGTAAAAACAAGTTGGGTCATACCAACGTCAAACGAATACTGAGGGACTCCAATACATAGAATATAAATGGAAGATATAATTACCTTTCAATTTATTTCATCCAGCTGTATGACAAATGGCAAAGTTGAAAAAAATTAAACAAAATATATGTATTGATGCAGTCGCTGGTGTGTCTAGTGCATAGCATGACACAAGTAAGTGCTGATACTTAGCCAAATAGAGCACCCCTATAAAATTGGTTTGATCTAACTAGTTCCTATCACCTAGATCTTTAGGCGAATGTAGCAAACCAGTCAGCTACTTGTATAGCCGGCAATGTTCTTGTTTGGGTGTTAGGAACATTATGGTGTGTATGTGGTTGAGGCTCCGTAAAGTACATAAATAATCCTTTAATTTTCCCAAAAGTATGGTTCATTTTTCAGTTTAATTTGATGAGCATGTTAAAAATCCTCAGTTTAACTTGATGAGCATGTTAAAAATCCCACTTTGTGTTTTAGTGGTAAAGAGTTTTTTATTTTGTGTGTAATTTAAAATTTAAAAAGAACCCTGATTATTACGAGTGACATTGCAGCATTATCATACCATTAAATGTAACTCTGCACAGTACTTGCTAATATTTGCATGCAGGAAAATTCTAGACATGCCTTCTGGCAACAACTTGATATCACTCTATTTTTTCCAGTTCGTGCAGTTCCTTATGTAAAAGTTGCTTGTTTTAGAAGCAGCTTGAGGCATGCACTGTTAGATGAGTTTGTTGCAGACTCTAATTGTAGCTGGAAGTGGATGTGCACATAGGCTTTATCGATGATTTGGATGGGCTTTGTTTTCTCTGCATTTCTTAAAATATCTTTCACAGCATACATACATGCTGATAAGATTCAAGCTTTCTATATTTCTTAATTTGAGGAACATTATTGTGTCAATATGTAATTTAATTATATATCCATGTATGTGTGCGTGTTTGAATACAGAATTTGTACAGGTACATGTATGCTTGTATTTTGAATAGAGCATGACAACCTTTTAGCGTAATTGTATGTTTTGTTTCCATGGCAATCAATCAGTTCACATGTACTGTGTAGTGATTTTATTTACAAATTTAAGCTAGGATTAGGCTAAAGATAAAAAATGTTTCTGTCTGCATTTTAACTACTGATGTCAGAACTATTTATTCATTCCCACAGAAAAAAATAAAATAAAACGTGTCTGTGCATGTATTTCTCACAAAATTTGACCACTCTGAATTTTGGTGGTGGCAGTGGCTTAAGTGGAGTATTTTAATAATAATACTGTTGTATTGTAATTTTAGAAATAACATTTCTATTAGGGTACAGTAATAAATTTAATACCTCAAACTGCAAGAGGAAACACTGCAATTCAGCAAGTGGGGGAGATAGGGTTCTCCTTACCAGGGTGTGTAGTTTTAAATAATTCTAAGTTAAAATGGAGCATTCTATGGCTTCCTTGGGGCCAAAATGACTATCAGACAGGTCACAGTTGATGACTGGCCACATGTGATTCCTGGTCAATCAGAATTTTATGGATGCCAGAGGATCTGCTGCCCAGGGTAAAGGGACGCATGGCCATGACATGAAGGTGTTGCGCCTCTGTTCCCTTGTTTAAAAAATCCCAGAATATATTGTATAAATAAAAAAATTAGTTTAAAATGAAATATGCTGTTCTCTATGTGCTTGTTCCTGTTGTAGTCCCCCTTTCATATGTTAATTAGCAAAAGCCTGACCACATTATACTAAACTTTTAAAGTATTCATCCACTGCAACAAGCCAATTACATTAGTTCTCTTTGAATATTAATGAATTGATTGATGTTGTGATCTAACATTGATTTTTATATAAAAACTATAACCATTTCTCTGTAGTAATAAAATTTCCAGCTAGAATTAATGTACTGTAAAATACTTTATTTCAGCTGGAATTAATTTTCGCTGGAAAGACTATTTGGGTGTTTGTATGGAATTTATTTTCACTGATTTTTGACCTGTTGTAAAATGTAAAAAACAGAATGTAAAATATAGGAAAAAAGGTATATTCACTAGAATTTTTAATTTGTCTCATCCTTTTTGAGAGGTAATCTGATAGTTCATTGTAAGCAATTCTATTCAATATGTTTTCATACTGATTTATTTTTTTGTAGTCAAGTGATATTGAAGAACTTGGTCAGATTTTAGATCCAAGTGGTCATGATGTCAATGTTTGTCTATCAGCATACCATGCAGGTGTCACACAGTGGATTGAAATACTGAAACAAAGAAAGTAAGTGAATTTTTTATCTTCATCATTGATCAGGAGTTTTCAGTTTCAGTTTTAGCAAGGTTCTGAAAAAGGTCTGAATTGTGGCATCATTGTATATATCACAGATTTGCTTGTGTGTGAAAAGAATGTTATAGTACTGGTTGAGGCATTTCCACTGACGGATGCAACAGTGAGGATCACCTTTAAGTCCACTGATGCTTGCTTTGACTTTGTCAGGATCAAAATGATAACAACAAGTAGATTCTATCAAGTATATTATTTAACATACACCAAGATAAATTGTTTTATAGTGAACAAATAATTCTGATTATTTTTAAGAACACTATATTCATCAACTTACATGCAGTCAATGAAATGTCAGTAGATTTTGATGCTTCTGAATTTCATACTGTGAGCAAATTTCTTATGTTTTGCTCAGACTTCATTAAAGATGCAATATGGATGAAAAACATACTGTAGATTAAATTGGATTAAGATTTACCATAAATGTTGCATTTGCAGGACACACAACAGTAAAATCAAAACCACTAATACGCATGCGCACTGATTGTTAATGTACATATTAACTTCATTGTTTCATTGAACAAATACTTGGATGTGTGCTACAAGAATAGCTTTCAGTTTATGATAAATCATAGTTCTGTGTATCTATCAATATATATTGTCAAACAACAGTACTGTATCTTTAAATTCCTGAATACAACATCCAAAGGAACACTCATCAGTAAGAATACGACTAATGAGATTTTGTTTCTGTTGTTTGATTATAGGTATGAGGATGAAGATGGGGAAGGCGTACACTATGACGATGCACCTGATCGGGAGACACCTGTTGAATCCACTCCAGAAAGACCATTGCCCATCCAAAGATCACTTTCAACGGGTTCTTATCAAGCTCCAACACGAGGTACTTTGAAGCTGTGCCTGTAAATTTAATTTTTAACATTTTCTAAACTTGAGTAAGCATAGTGTCTCAATGACAGTTTCTAGTTTCTCAGCATGAATAGAAAAAAAGACATTTTATCTGTACATGTGTTTCATAAGTCTCAGATCTCAATAATCCATTGTTTGTATCATTCATAATAAATATTACATTTTTCTAGGGATTTCTGATATTTCCTTGGTTAGCTTTGGTAGTATAGAAACCCCAGGTGAAGATGATATTGGAAAGCCGACTAAGTATGTATAAAATAATTTATGCATATTTTAATTATTTAATATTTCTTCAATTATTTCCCTTACTAGTCAGTGAAAAAGATGACTTCCTAAGTGTCAATGATATATTTCTGTAGGTTATGTGATGGCTACTAATAATATTACAGCGACAAGAAATTGTGATTTTCGACTACTTTTTCAAAAACCTAGAACCAATTGTCATACAGGGAAATTATAAATGATTTGCACATTGTGTTTCAGTGACTATGTTGAATTACAAAATCAAATTGAAGATCTGCAATTTCAAGTGAAAAAACTGACTGAACAGAATATGAAATTGAATGCTCAGATGGATACGACTGAGGATGCAAATGGTGCACTCGTATTAGAAGTAGAAGAACTCAAAAACAAATTGAAAAGGTATGGATCAAAACTCCAGCTGTGAAGTTTTCTTTACCAGTAATATATTCTTTAAGTCAAGGCAAATGTAGTCAGGATTCAGAGCTTCAATGTCTGTATTCTCACGACATCTAATTTCAAGTCCAACTTCCAAGCTGGCTACATTTTCAACTTGTTCTAGTAATGTTCCAGTCAATGTCAACCCCGGCCCCTCCCACCTTATACGGGACACGATACGGGACAAATGTGGGGCTTTAGATGGGGTTTTTCGCCAAACTGTGCCCGTGGAGGTGGGATAATAGCCGTTTTTCGTGTCCCGTCATCGCTAGCTGCGCATGCGCATTCGTTCATTAATTAAATACTCTGCTGATAGCAAGCATGGCGGACAATGTTTTGGGTGGGAATTTGCCTATCCTTCTTGCCCCAGGAGGTGGGGCATTTGGCAAATTTTTCAACAATAATTTCTAAATCCCCCACTAAACCCCGAAGTGGGGAGGGTGGGGGTTGACATTGACTGGAGCATAATCTTTACCCATGTTTACTATTATGAGACATATTTAGGCAAATTACTTTGCGCAATCTGATGATTTGGAAACAAGCTAAGCTAGCTTTACTTCAGCTAAATGTAAATGTATGCTCAGATCGTACTTACCTAAATGTCATTACAGTTGGGAAGGAATTCTGCCTTCATCACAATCTGAATTTTAAACCCGGGGGATTTAGATAGTACCAGTTCACATGAACAAATTGACGGAGGTTATTCCAATTTTGCATTATCTTAATAATGTTGACATTAATTTAATGTTAACAGAATAAAAATGTGTCCACATCAAATTATTTGAATAAAACATTAACGCAGTTCCTGCTGATAGAAATTTGATCCCATATTGTAGGTTGATGATTCCAATTACGTTCATGCTGTTGGTAAATTTCTGGTTCATTTATTACAATTTGTTTAAAGTACTTGCTCTAGAAAACTGTAAATGTACTATATCAAAAAGCACTATGAGACAGAAGAGTTATTTCTCATAATCCGACTTTGTTTCTGTCAGTACTCATCAATCTATTCAGCGTAGCCATTCAGTGAGAGAAGAAAATGATGATTTAATATCTACTATCACTGCACTAGAGGATACCAATAGAGATTTGAGGAGAAAATGTACGCAGTTGGTAAGTACTCTTAAGAATTTAATATAACAATTTTATTAATAAGACGAGTGATCTCACTTTTTTTTTATTGTTGCCTTGATTGCAATGATGGCAATGTATAAAGCTTACTTTCTCTGTTTGGTGGCATTATAATTACTGATATAATTATAAGTATGATTTGAATTACTCAGTTGATTTACTCTGGGATGCAAACATTTATTGTCCACCTTTTTTGTTAACAGGAAAAAGAGAAGAATACCTTTGAAATTAAAATATCTAATTTAGAGGCAGACTTGCAACAAGCAAGCTTGAATGTAGAGAGTATGCAGAAAGATCAAAGACACATGAGATCCTGCATGGATGAATGCAAGGTAACAGCTTATCTCATTTGTAATCCTACCATATGAAAGACATGTTTGTACAGTTTGTGGGTCCTCATACGTTTTACTTTTACTTGTCAAATCGTACATACACGTGAGCAGCACAAACATAATATATGTTACAACTTCTGAACCCATTAGCTGATTCCAATCTTTACTTTTTTTCCCAGTGTGCCCTCTAAGCCATTTTGAGGCGTCACTGACGCAAAGGATTTCAAAACCTTGCATTGATTATTAATGCAATTAAAAACGGCAAAAAAATTATCTTAAAATAGAAAAATTTTGAAAATAAAGCATGAATTTATTTTAATTGACCTTTTCACCACCAGACTTTCTCGCCCAAATTTTTTCTGCACTTTTTTTTTATAATCTTCAAATATTTTTGGAAATGATCCCTAATTTTGGATCCAAGTGACAAACTTTGAGTCAATTTTCAAATTTTACTCAAAAGATTTTGCCATTTTTGTCTCAATCTTCTGAAGGAAAGTGCAGACTATAAAAGGGGCTATTTTGTGAATTTGGGATGAAAAGAGAGAACTGGTAGTGATAGATCACACAAGAAACGTTGCTATGCAATGTGTAACGTTGCTATGCATCGTTAAATCAAATTGACTAAATCAAATATATTTTTTATTTTTTGATTCACAAAAATTATAAACGCTGTACATGTATGAACACTGTTTCTAACTACTGTTTTTTTTTTCTTCAGAAACAAAGTCAAACACTTGAACAGCAGATGATTCTCAAAGATATTAGAAATTACTGAGGTAAGTTTCATTTTGTAATGCTTGTATCCAACGTTATATTTCTGTACATTGTGGCCATGCTATAACAGCTTTTTGTTTGTCACTGACATCAGTTGATGAACTGTAGAGCCTGTGAGTTTAAAAAAAAATAATAGCAGACGAAGACAAAAAAACAAGCCTCTTTAGCCAATATATTCTGAAACTTGTCAGTTCAAAGCTCTGTTCCATTGGTCCATCTTAGGTTTTTATACTGGCCACATTCTGTAATTATACTGTCACAGTATTTACATTACATTTCATTTTCCATTTTTACAGTGTTAAGCTACAGTTTAGTTTGTGTTTTTTTTCTCGATTTTACATAGTGAAGCCATACTTTTACTGTACACCCAATTGATATGAAGATTGATTGAAACTCTTGGGCATTACTTGATCTTTGGTCTAATTAATGCCTGAGAGTTTCAATTAATATCTTTCTGTTGATTGGGTGTAAGACAAGTATGGCTTCACTATGTAAAATGTGAAATTATAACTTCAGTGAATTGGGTAATTTGCCATATTTGGTTAGTAAAAGAGGTTTAAAGTATTTCACCAAAATATAAATGGCAGTACAAATATATTAAATCGCCTAATCACAGTTCAAGTTTTACTTTAACACATTGAGATGTAAATCTGGATGCTACTTTATCAATTGAGACTATGGTACTTACCATATTAAGTAGCTGACTCTTAGTCAGGGGTGACTGATAGTTTGAAAGCTGTCTCTTAAATATTATGTGTCTATGTTCAGTAAAATAGATAATTTTCTTTTACAAACTGGTAACATATTTTTAGTATGGAG